ATGCATGGGAAGCTGTTTGGCAGCACCCCTGGCCTCTACCCACTAGAAGCCAATAGCAGGAGACAGCTGACACAGTCAAAATATCCAAATCAATAAAGCTATTGGTGAAAATGAAAAATGTGTCCTTTATGGAAAAAACTCAACGGACTTTTCGGCCAACCCAGTCGGTACCTGGTGTCCACGTCAAAGTGAGTTGTGTGTGAGCGACGGCAGGCGCCAGGGAACGGGTGGGCGTGTGGACCGAAACCGGGCACGTTTGGTGTCAGAAGCACTGCGAGTAAAGACAGCTCCCACTACAGGGACATACATGTGAACACATCAGTGGGGTGACTTTGGAAGCTGTAACCACAGAGTCACACAAGGCTCGGAAATATTCAGAACTCAATCAAAAATAATTTTCAGCTTCGTGATGCTATGAAGAATATGAAAGAATATACAACTCCTTCAAGTTCAAAGGTATTTAGCGCTAGACTGGAGGCACTCAGTTATCCCCAGAGGTACAGGAATGCAAAATTCAGTCAAGGATGGTGTAGCCTAGGGAGGAGTTGCCAGCTTCTGAGGCCAGAGAGAAGATTCCAAAGGGACCCCAACTGGAGACTTGAGCTACAGGGCTCTGAAGGTGAAGAGCGTCCTATGTGGAGGGCAAGGACAGCGCACTGTGACGAGGGTCATCCACCTATGAAACCTCCATGAGCTGCGAAGAGTCTTCTAAGATGATATAATTGGAAGGACACACTGATTTCCTTTTCAAGTGAGCATCTTTCAAATCTAAGATCTAGAATTGAGTTTAGAAATGTGATGGATAGTAACTAGGCATAGAGTGGCGATCACTTTGTACTGTATACAAATACTGAATTATTACGTGTTACGTATACCTGAAACAAATATGTACCAATTTTATCTCATTTTTTTTTTTAAAGAAAGAAACATCAGGGCACACCAGCCTCTGGCATTTTTCTCCCAGTCTAGCTTAAATGTCACTACTGTACTGATCTCCCCTTAATTAAAATTTTCAAAAGGCTCCAGAAGCCCAAAGGGTCAGGTTCACAGACCTCAGCATGGAATTTAAAGCTCTATACAACATGGCATCATCAGCCTATTGCCCATTCTCCCTGTAGTACACCATAGGCAACCTGCTCTGGCCTTTGCCTAGAAATGTCCCAAGGCTCTTACTAAACCCCATACATTCTGTAAGGCCCTGCCCTATAGCCACCTCCTCCAGGAAGCCTTCCTGGCTCAACAGCTCCAAGCAAGTCTCCTCTGACCTCAGATTATTCCATTGTGTGGCCCTTCACTAAGTGCCACCTTGATAAGAATGTCATGTTGCTCTTCTACATTCTCATTTCACTGTGCTTTAGTGCATCTCTGGTTTGATGGGGCCAGAGCAGACAGGTCAAGGTCAGTAGGCCATGTCTTACAGGCCGCTGGCAGGAATGAGTCCTGAGGTTTTAACTCAACAGATCAGTGACCAAGGAGCAGGAGGCACAAAACACTGTGCCAGACTACAAAGCCAAGAGTGAGAAAGCAGGAGTGGGGAAGGTGGGCGAGCAGACAGATGCGAACTGAAGAGAGGCTAGAACAGGCGCAGGGGAGTGAGCGCCGTGGAGCCAGCGGACGAGGAGCAGGGGGATGGGCCAGCTGCAGGGCTGGGCTGCAGCGGAGGCGCCCTGGCTGGAACAGGGTCCTCGTGAACCTCCCGTTCTCTCACTGTGGCAGGGCTGGCTGGCTGCCGCTCGCCTGGGCGCGCGGCTTCTCCAAATCGGCTTTCCGATCCTGGCTGCCTTGAAGTTGGGAACACATATGTACTTCTCACCCCTGTGCTGCCAGGGCCTTCGGAGATGGTGCCAAATGAATGCGTCTCGGAAAACTCTCCATTCTCCTCCTCCTCGGCTGTGGTCACCCACTTTCTGGCTGCCTCGGCCACACCTAACAACTGAAGCTCCTCTGTCTGTAATATTTGTATGGTGACAACCGGAGATTCAGAAGGAGAGTTCCCTTCTCCACTTTCTGAAGGCGGACAGAAAATAATCCGTTTAATTGTTCTGTGCCCTGCCAATGTTCCACAGAAGGGCGCCCTCCGGCCTCAGTGGTGTGTCCAAAACCAGTGCTGAATTCTTGAAGAGCCCATGATCTCTCTTATGAGATTGCTGTTCTGTGCCTACGCACCCCACTCCCACCCCAAAGGGACCTCTGAAGCACCTCGCAGAGCACAGGGAGGGCACAGGCTGCCAGCCTCAAACTAACTCTGTATTATATAGAGACTGTCCTTTGGTCATTTATTCGTTTCAGGCGACCCCACGTCCTCTGCACTGACCACCAGGAAGGCCTGCATTGTGCTGGACCCCACCTCCAGGAAAGGGCAACGCAGCTCCCTACCTCGGGGAGGAAGACAGCTGCCCCGTCAGTGACACACGCTGGGAAATGGAGCGTGGCCTCCTGACGGAGCAGAGTGGCCGAGCGAGGCCCAGCACCTGGCTCCACTCCCCGGAACAAGCGTCAGTCCCCTCAGTGCCGTACCACACTTTAACGTCACTGCACTCCGCTCTGTAGTAGTTCCCGAGGTAACTCTCACCCCGTCCACTCGGGCAGCCCTGGGCCTCCCACTGAACTGGTGCTGGTGGAGCTTGAGAAATAGGATCCTGTGAATTTAAATCTACTCTATCTTCCAAAAAGGATTTGAGGTGCCTTAAAAAGTGCATGATAAAATCCAACAGAAACAGATGAAAATATACCCTTGAAGAGAAACCAAGAAAGGAAGAGAAAGTGAGGCTAGAGTCAAGGGCACGCACAGCAATGGTCGGTTCTGCAAAAATTGCTCAAGTGGCTACAAATGCCACTCTGGGTTTTCCAGGGGCAAACGCAAAGAAAGAATCGTGGTCTGTAATGAGATTCTAAGTATACGAGTGTGAGAGAGACCGCCTGGAAATAGCCTCTGCTGGGGGCCTGAGGTTAATTTCCTGAGCACCGATTCCTCCAAGTGGGATATTTAAGGGAAACATTTTAGAGAATTTTTTAAGGCCTCTGATGGATATCGCCAATGCTCTCCGAAAGGCTGTCCGGATTTACATTCCCACCGGCAATCTGCTCAGCCTGCTCTCTTCCCTGCCCTGGGGATTATCGTTATTATTTTGGCTGGCGGGGGAGTTCTTTGCAAATGCGATAGATAGAAAATCGGGGTTTTCATCTGTAACTCATGAAAGTAAATCATGCTGAATATTTTTCCTATCTGCTCTGACGCTCTCCACGGGGTAAGCCGCCTACCTTCGCTGAGTCGCCTCTTCCCTCCCTTTCCCACGGAACCTGGGAGGAGCTCGTTTTCTGTGAAGGGTATTGAGCCCTTTGCCATCGTGTTGTCAATATTGTTGGTTGCCTTTGTTTAAGCATTTTGACATCCAAGAGTTGGGTTTTTTTTTTTAGGCTGTAAAATCTCATTTTTCCCCAAGATAGTCAGTTAAACGTTTATTAAGTGCCTACTCTGTGCCCAACACTGAAACCTTCCAATTTTACTAATAAACGAGAGGTTAAGTAACTTGCTCAGGGTCGCTCAGCAAATTATTTGTTGAATGAGGAAGTAAATGAAGGAGGGGAGATAGAGTTTCCTCATCCCCCCCCAAAGGGGCAACTCCACCGTGAGGCCCCTCCCCCTTCCAGCCAGTGCAGAGCAGTGAGTCTCTCTGAGAGCACCAGGCTGCAGGACAGGAGCCTGGGACGTCCCCTTTACCTCACCCGACTCCCCGCCTCCCCTCGTAGACCAGTAAACACTGCCAGGGCACTCGACTGCTCTTTGGAAAGAGAACTGCTTCCATTAATAGGAGGTAGAACTCCATTAATAACTGCTTTTTTATTAATAGGAGGTAGAACCTCCAACATTCTCGGAAACTTAGCAGACCTAGCTTGCTAATACCCAAGACAGGGACTCTGGACCAGCAGCACCAGGGTCACCTGGGGGCTGCCTAGGGACGCGGGGGCAGCCAGCCCCGCTGCATCAGGGCCTGCGCGTGCCCACGGTCCCCAGGCGGTTGCTAGGCACATCCGAAACTGAGAGCACCAGTTGGGAATTAAACTTCTTTTTTTGAAACTTTAGCTCTAAACAAAGCCATGTGCTTTGCTGTAAATGGTGAAGAAAACAGTTCAAGAACCTGATGAGCTGAGCTCCCCCATAAGCTGTGGACTTCGTGGGTAAATCTGAATTTGCCCTTTTTTTCATGCCCCGTGTAACCCACGGAGCACCGTGAACTCCAGAGACAGGGTTCTCTCTACCTGGGGCCGACCAGCACCCGGTGCTGCCGACACAAAGGCAGCGGGTCTGACTCCGAACAGGCCCGGGAGAGCTCTGCCGAGGGAATACCCGGCTGGGTGAAGGCTGGAAGGAGGTACTCGCGTAATAAAGAACAAAACCGTAGTTGCCTCACTGATAATAGTTTTCTCTGAAAAAGCACGATCAGTACTCCAAGTCCTGGCCTGCAACATTCTCAGGAAATCAATTTTCCCACCTAAAAGGCAACAGCCACTCAACTCTCACCATCATGCTTCAGGAAGCATGAGAAATGCTTTCTGACCATTACCCTGTTAATGCTCCCGGTGGGTCTTTGTGCAGAGATTTATCACGCCCACTTTGCAGATGAGGAAACTGAGCCTCAAAACACCTGAGTGATGGAACCAAAGACCACTCTCAGGTCTGTTCGACAGTAAGACCCACGGGACAGGGTTCTGGACAGGGCACTGAGGGGCGTGTACTCTGTGGCATGGCCAGGCCAGAACCCACGAGGCCTGGGGGTGAGAAGTAGCTGTCTCATTGGACAAGTGTGTGCTTAGGAAACAGTTTTGAGGAGGTTTAACCTACAACAACATGAACTTCATCACATGTAATTTAGAAGACGGTGAATTAGCAAGTGAACATGCAGGGGAAAACAGAGGGTCTTTTCCCTCTGAAAGGAAAAACAAATGTGTGGAGAGCCCTGCTAAGCAGGTTTCCAAGCCCCTGAGTCCGGAACGCCTACCTTGGATTCCATACAGCCTGTTGAGGCGTGACCGCCGGGCCTCGTCAGTGTAGGGGACGGCGAGCCAGGGCATCTCGCTGAAGTACTGTTTGAACGAGTCCTCTGACCTACAGACACACGTGGAAACAAGGCTCTGTCACCCGTGAATGCACACCACTGGGTCCTCCCCGCCTTCGGCCAGGTGGTGCCTGGGGCCCTACCGATGCAGAGGTGTCTGATCATCACGTTCAGACACAGGAGGGGCTGTTCCTCCCATTCCAGGTCCACCAGGAAGCAAAGGTCCCCACACGACGTGCGGGCACCAAACTGCACCCCCAGGCCATGTCCATGGCTCACTCCTCTGCATCCCACTGGCTTAGCTCATGCCCAACATTTTATTGATTGATGGGCTGACTTTAGAGAGACAGTAGGCGAGGGGAGAGAAACACGATTTGCTATTCCACTGACTCATGCATTCGTCTGTTGACTCCAGGATGTGCCCCGACCAGGGACTGAACCAGCAACCACATTGGGACAATGCTCTAACCAACTGAGCTACCCAGTCGGGGCACTTTTCACTTTTCACCACAGACGAATGTCACCTTTATAAAAACCCTGGATGGTCTGACACTGCATTCCCTGTAACACTCCTGTTTTGTGCACGTAACAGTGGTATGCACAGGACCATGCTTCTAACTGTTCGCAAACACCATGATTCCACACGTAAGAAATTCCAGAAATGACGAATCCAACCAAGTGATAAGAAGCAGGTCGGGGGTTCCTTGAAACCGGGGTCTGGGGTGAGACTGACCCAGAGAGGCATGAGGGAGTCTTCTGAGTGATGGAAATGTCCTCTCTCTTAATTGTGATGCTTACATCAGTCCACATATTTGTCAACATCCACTGAACTATATACCTAAAATGTATGCATTTCACTGTATGTGAATTACAACTCAGTAAGGCTGACTTTTTTTACAGCTTTAAACAAGTGATTACTCCATCTGCCACAGCTTCAAACCTGTCCCGGCTCACAGGCCCTGAGGTGGGGAGCAGTGGGACAGCGGGGCAGGACCACAGGCCACTAAACCGAGCAGGAAGCAGCACAGACGTCAGGGCTCCAGCAGCGCAGGATGTGCCCCCCGCGTGCTGCTGCAGCCCTGTGAACAGGCCCTGGGCAGAAGCAGCTGGGGGTTCGATTTGAATTGGGGCAGGAGTTTTGTGATGTAGGAAGGTCACTGGGGATTAAAGCCAGCGACAGGGCAAAACGCAGAGGAAATTGAGGCTAAAAGGACCCGATTGTACTCCAGGAAGAAGTCTGCCCTTGCGGTTTTTGTGCAAGCGCCCAAAGCAGGTGGCCAGAGCGAAGGGAAGTGCCCGCACGGCCATGTCAGACAGACACCACAGCCCACTAGTCTCTGTCCTTTTCTTTCCACCCTTTCCCCCACATCCTTTACCACAACCCCAAACACTGAACCCTTCACACAAACACACCCTAATCTTAAACGACCCAGGCCTGAATCAGGATGTACCTCCATATTTACAACAAGAACAAGTTTTTCTCGGCTTCCCTTCAGACAGTTCTAAGGGTAAACGTGAAATGTATCTGCCCCTCTGCCAATACCCCCAGCTATGTCTCCCCCAGTCCCGGACTCTGAGCTCTGCACTACAGACGGGGAAGCATGAGGCGGCAGAAAGACACACGTCCATCACCCACAGGGAAGGAGAGCCGCGCTAACATTACCTGTCTGCGCTAACAAAGATGATCTCGAATTTCTGGCCTGCCTCCTTGATCTTCCGGTAGGATTCCACCAGGACCCGAGTGAGGCTTCGGCAAGGGGGGCACTGAAAGAGAAGATTGGGATCCCGTAGCGTGACTTTGCACCTTCAACGTCCCCTTTCCCAGCCACTTGCCATCGGAGAGCAGGCAAGCAAGACCCCAGCAGAATTGGGCTGGCAAAACCCGGGTCATACAAGAGGCAGAAACAAACGTGCCTCCCGTAATGCGGGGGTACGGCCACAGTGCCCTCCCCAGACCTCACAGCCTGCCAGCAGGCCGCCCTTAAACGGGCCCCTCAGGGCCCCTTGGAAGCCTCACCAGAATGGGTTAAGAAAGCTATCCTTTTAGACGAGTCAAAAGAAGTCATTTTCTTGCCACTATTATCATTCATAACCACAAGCACTTATTGCACGCCAACAGTGCACGAGGCACAGGAGAAAGGAAGAATGCCGGGAAGTTATGCCCGAGCGTCACACCTCCAGAAGCCAATCACAGCTGGTCTCAGTGGTGACACCACTGCTTCCTCCTGTCTGGGCGAAGGAGGGACTGGACACTCACCCAGTGTGCGGAGAAATAGACCCCCACGTGGGACCCCTCCAGGCTGCTGCTCTCCAGGGACTGCCCGTTATTTCTCAGCAAGGGCCCTGCGATGACCTCCCGGAAGGGTTTAGGCCCCCACGGGAATTCCAGACCTGCAACAGGCAATAGACCGAGAAGGTTAAGACTCTTCAGTGCTGTGGCTTCTGACCCAAGAGGCCTCAGGGCTGCAGAGTGCGACATCTTTGTTGTCAAACAGTATCTGTTAACCCACCAGCAGATCTGCAGCTGAAAACACTGGGAGAAAGGCAGGATTCCTCAGTGACGGAGTCCGACCTACTCTCCAGGCAATGGTTCCCGAACTTGCATGACCCCAGGGCCCATCTCCTGGGAGGTTTCTGAAGAAAACAGAAGCCCAGGTCATACCCCAAGTCCCAGGATCCAAGGCCGAAGCTGTGGTTGCAAAAGCCACAGAGCAGACCCGCAGGTAACTCTGACGAGGGGCCAGGCTGGGGGAGCATCGCCGGACAACTCCGACTGCATTCCTGAATCTGCTGGGGGGTTTTAACGTGTGATGCTTCTGGGCCCCACCCCCAGAATTTCTGGTTAGGATAGTGTGGGATGGGGCCCAGGGAACCAAGTGAGATAAGAATTTAAGTCTGGGGAAAGGAGACAGTAAAACCCACTCAACCCAGATGGTCTGAATTCTGATGACACTTAAGCCCCAGGCAGGAAGAGCAAGTAATACGCTCTCAGCTCAAGCAACAGTGTTTTCTCACAGGGTGGTCCATGGACCACTGCCTCAAAATTGCCTGGGGTGAGGGCAGGGTGGGAGGGAGGAACTCGGACTGGCTGAAAATGCAGGTGGCCAAGCCCACCCGGAACAAATGGATCCAAAAGTTTCAGGGGGAGAAGGGACATCAGCATTTTAATGAGCTTCAGGGTAGTGTGTGTGTGTGTGTGTGTGTGTGTGTGTGTGTGTGTGTGTGTGTGTGTGTGTGTAAATCTGAGAACATAAACGTAAAAACTTGGTTCTCTCATGCCCTGGTTTTTACTGAGGGCAATTCTTTGAAGCAGGTGAATTTTTACTGGAAAATTTGTGATCAGGCTTGAACCCTCTAGCTGAGTCAATGTGTGAGGGAAGAAGGCCTTAGGACGCTTTTATGGCTGCAGCACAAGGCGGGAGACACAGACGTTCAACAGCCACTGAGCAGGGTGAGCAGAGCAACCTGCCCACAGTGCGGCCACCCAAGCAGCCGGCCAGCGAGACCGAGGCCTGCAGGGCGTGGGCAGAGCAGAGAAGTGAGGTGCACTCACTGCTGAGCCCGCGAGAGCAACAGAGACTGCTGCTTTGCCACGGTAATATTTTTAAAGGGAAGTAAAATCGCTTAGCCTGCCTCTGATTGTTAAGGTGGCAGCTGCTGTGGAAACAGCACCAGCGGCCGGTTTCTGGGCTCCAGCGGCTTCTCGCAGCCTCCGCAGCCCTCAAAGCAGAACTCCCTCCCTCGGTCCGGCTCCTTCGGCCCATGAATGAAAGCTCCCGGGAGGGACATTCTGATCCCTTTAAAAATCTTAACCATGACCTGGAGAATACTACAATTTCACCAAGTCAATATTCTTTAGCCAAATAAACCCACTTACATGTACAGCTGACCCTTGAACAACATGGGTGAACTGTGTGGGCCCATTCTATGTGGATTTTTTTAACCGACAGTTTGAAAAAACTCACAGATAAAGCCATGCAGCCCGAACCAGATGATGTGAACTTACAGTACTGATAAAAACACACAATGCTGTAAATCTACTTCTGTTCCTTTGGGTTTTCTTCACATCGTTTTCTTTTCTCTAGCTTACTCTATTGTAAGAATGCAGTATATAACCCATATAACATACAAGATCAGTGTTCACTGGTTGTTTATGTTATTGGGAAGGCCCCCAGCTAACAGCAGGAAGTCAAAGTTACACGTGGAGTTTTGACTGCACGGGGGTGGGCACTGCTGACCCCCACGTTGTTCACGAGTCAACTGCCTGCCATGCGTACACTCTCCAGCAGAGGGGACGAGGTCAGGGCAGAGGGACAGCGGGGGAGGCGTGGGATGGACAGGCCAGGCCTCACCTTCCGGGTCGTCTCGGATCACCAGCAGCCCATTCCTGCACACGACCTTCCCGGTGGTGGCGTCTAGGAATATTAGCGATGGAATGTTGGAAATTCGATATTTGTTCCAAAGTTTTAGCTGTAAGAAAAAAAGTTAAAGATGGTTAAGTTCCGAGAAGAACTGCAGAGTTCTTCTGAACCCCTCGGGACTGAGGGGTCGATGGACTGGAAAACACAAAAGCACAGAGAAATGAGTCACTGAGGGGAAGCGGGGCTGGCTGGGCAGAGTGGACGGCGAGGCTGCAGCCCCTGGCCCTACAGCCCAGGGTGAGGCGGGGCCCGAGTCAGAGCTGAGGCCGTGGCAGAGGCTGATGAGGGATAAATGGCACTTACTACAGGGGATCTCTCTCTCCTGCCTCTCCCCTGGCACTTTCTCTAACAGCATAAAGAGGCACTGGAGACCAGTGTGGCTCGGTGGGTGGGGCATCATCCCACAAAGCAAAAGGTCTCGGGTTCGATTCCCAGTCAGGGCACGTGCCTGGGTTGCAGGCCAGTTCCAAGGAGGGGGCACATGAGAGGCAACCATTCATTGATGTTTCTCTCTCTCCCTCTCTCCTTCCCTTCCCCTCTAAAGATAAATAAATAAAAAAGAAAATAAAGTTGGATCATGCATTTTTTGAACACAATCAGACCAGGTGGTTAAGGAAAAAAGGGAGGCTTTCTATTGGTGCCTCTCCGCCCTATCAGCAGGCAGACGCTCCCCTGCTGTGCTGTGTCCCCTCTGAGCCCGGAGGGAAAAGGGATGGGCATCCGACAGAAGACCAGAAGTTAAAATCTGCCCCACTCACCGCTTCGCCAGGCCCTGGGACGCTGGCAGTCATTATACGCATGTGCCCTCTGGCCAGCAGACACTAGGGAGCGATATCCCGAGCCAGCCACAGCCCTCAAGTCTCGGTGCCACTCAAAACAACCCACAGTCTGCTGGCAGGTTCTTGAGGCTGACTGTGTGCCCTGGGTCCCAGTGGGATGTGGCCGAGCAAACAGTGCAACAGCCCACAGACAGGAGCCGCGCACGGGCAGGCTCACTCTGCTCCCGCTCACTCTGCCCCCAGCCGTGGGGGTGACACTGTTTGGGGGTGATCACTGTTCAGGTGAGCCACTGGGTGCTCGGGAACGTCACTGCTGAGCCCAAAAAGCTACATAATTAAACAAAATGCAGAGCTATCAGTACACCTCCAAGAAAGAAAGAAACAAGGGGGAACTGAAGAATGGCCCACCGGTGATTTTGCTGCAAGCCTTCCTTCCGGGGGCGGGGCCCAGGAGAGCTGGCCACCGGGCACGGGCAGAACAGGGCACAGATTTGTCTACGGAAACAGGCACCAGAAGTCCGACTGCGTCCAGCAGAGGGAAAGCTCTGTGTGGCTGTGATTATTGTTTTTAATCCAACCCCAGGCGGTGAGGGAGTTGGGCAGCATATCTGCCAAGAAATGTTCGGCTTTCCTGCCTGTGGAGACCTGGGTCTGGGCAGGAAGGGTGTGGGACCCCGCCTCGCACGGGATGGGCCCCGCCTTGGAGCTGCGTGTTTTTCCCAGGCCCACGTTTCCGATGGGCTCCCCAGGCTAGCCCAGGACTCAGAGCAAGCGCGATCCTGCGCAGCCAGTCTCCAAGGACCAGCGCGCTGACGGCATCATCCCAGGGGAGCCGGGCACAGGGTTCAGATTCAACAGTCTTCAGAGAAGAGGTTCGGCAACTAAAAACGACCGTCTGCTGCTGGGGTCGGCTTCCCAAATTGGCTGGGGCAAGGACCCAGCCAGGTTATTTTTTTATTTTAAAGAGGGAAAAAAGGAAGATTAAGATTATTGGATTTCTCTGTTTTAAAAAGTAATTAATAGGAGACAAAAGGTAATTAGTGGAAAAAATGGGAAATGCAGGACATCACAGAGATTGAGAAAGGAACCACCCACGACCTGTGAACACTCAGACAGCTCTGTGCTGGGCTGCCACCGCTGGCGATGGAGAGGCCCGCGCCCTACAGCCTCACCAACGTCATCGCCAACGTCAGCTTCCCAATTTAGTAGGAAAAAAGATATCCTATTTTTTTTTTTAGATTTTATTTATTTATCTTTAGAGGGGAAGGGAAGGAGAGAGGGAGAGAAACATCAATATATGGTTGCCTCTCGTGCGTCCCCTGCTGGGAACTGGCCTGCAGTCCAGGCATGTGCCCTGACTGGGAATCGAACTGTGATCCTTTGGTTCGCAGACCTGTGCTCAATCCACCGAGCTACACCAGCCAGGGCACACATCCCATTTTTGCTGCCTAATTTTTACCTATTGATAATTAGGCATATGTGTATATATAAAGATAATTAGGCATTTATATATTTTTACTTATTGATAATTAGGCATACATATACATGTAATTGGGTATGTGTGTGTATATATATGCCTCTTTTTTTTTTACAAATAGAATAGCTTTCTCTTCAGACTAAAAACCTACTTTGAAGAATCTATACTTTACAATGAGCTGTTTTTACAACTCCATCTTTTCATTTGGGACCTAGATCCCATTCTTTTGTGCACACACACACACACACATACACATATAACCGTTGTATGAACAGACTGCTTTCCCCAGTATGTTTTACAACTAGTTAAGTGCCGAAACTCATTCAACAGATACTAACTGGGCCCCTTCAATGCGCCAGCCTGTTCGAAGCACAAGGGACACGAGAAGGAACGAGGCGGGTGAAGCCAGTGCCTTGGCAGAGCTTCTCTTCTAGTGGGGAGACAAGAGTAGGGACAGAAAAATAATTGCAGGCGCTTGTGATTGATGGAAGTTAAACAAAGCAAGGCAAGAACAAAGCATGCGGAGGGGAGTGGTATATATTTCACAGAGTAATCAGGGAAGGCTTCTTAGAAGAAATGGCATTTGAGCAGAAGACCCCAACAATGAGCGAGCCATAAGTGCATCGAGGAAAGCCACCTGAGGCCCAGCGAAGGCGAGTAGAGGCCAGCGGGGGCCGGGGAAGGCTGGAGTGGACGGAGCCAGACAGCGTCGGGAGGGGAGGTCAGAGGGGCAGTCGGACCCGATTTTGAAGGCCCTGCAGACTGGTAAAAATCATGGAATTTCATTCTAAGTATAATACGGTGAGGATAGCAGGGGAGTGGTATGAGCTGATCTACGTTATAAAAGGTCCGTGTGGCTCCTGGGAAGGAACATGCCACAGGGGAAGACAAGTGGAAGGCAAGAGACCAGCAGGGAGGCTACTGACAACAGCTCAGGCAGGAGCCGAGAGGTGGCCAGGACTTGGGTGACAGCAGAGACAGTGAGGACGTGACTGGAGATAGCTGATAGAGTAGGTTGACAAATTTATTTATTTTTTAATTTTTTTTAAATTTTATTTATTTATCTTTAGAGAGGAAGGGAAGGAGAGAGGGAGAGAAAGAAACATCAATGTATGGTTGCCTTTCGTGCATCCCCTGCTGGGAACTGGCCTGCAGGGAACCGGCCTGCAACCTTGGTATGTGCCCTGACTGGGAATCGAACCGCGATTGTCTGGTTCACAGGCCCGCGCTCAATCCACTGAGCTACACCAGCCAGGGCAACAAATTTAATGTCATGAGGTGATGGAAAGAAAAACATCAAGGATGGCCCTGGCCGGGTAGCTCAGTTGGTTAGAACAGTAGCCCAATATGTCAAAGTTGTGGGTTTGATCCCTGGTCAGGGCACATAAAAGAGTCAACAAATGAATACACAAATAAGGGGAACAATATATCGATGTTTCTCTTCCCCCTCTCCTTCCCCTCTCTCTTTAAAATCAATAATTTTTTTTTTTTAAAATTTAAAGAAAACGATCAAGGACGTGCTGTGGTCGGGGGATGGAGCGAACGTGTATGAAGGTGTGATAAGCCCGGGTGAGGAACAGTGGAGGGGGGTGGTCCGCACAGGTCAATCTGAGTCGCCTGTTGCACGCGCCAGTGGGGGTGCCAAGCAGGCGCCTGGACTCACAAACCCAGACGAGCTGGGGGTGGGGCGCAAGACACCAACCAGGGGCCTCCGGTGCCTGGATGGGGTCGGTCATCAAGGGAGGGCAGGGCTGCAGAGGAACAGAGACCCCAGGGCACAGCCAGGGACCACCAGCACGGGACACTGAGAAGCAGTGACGAGTGACGTCAGGTGGAAACGAGGAGACTCTGGGACCCCAAAAGGTGAAGAAAGTGTTCTGAAGTAGGCAGCTGTGTCGAATGCTGCTGAGATGTGGCGCAAACTGAGAACTGACCGGCGGATGGGCCACTAAGGTCACCCATGACCTTAACGGGCAGGGAGCAGTTGTGGCCCCGTCAGCGGCAGTGAAGCCCCGCGGCAGACCGCCTGGAAGAGGTGGGGACGGGCTGCCCGAAGCGAGCCAGGGGCCCAGACAAATTCGAGTCCTCTGGCAGACATGGGAAGCATTTTGAGGAGCACAATAAAAAAAAAAAAGAAAGGTTATAAAAAGAGAAAGAAAATGGCAGATAAAGGGCTGAGTGAGACTACAGACAATTCTCTTTAAGAGTTTAGCTGTAAACGGAGCAGAGAAGTGAGATTGTAGCTGGAAAAACGCATGATGAGGTCAGAGAGAGAGTATTTTAAAGATGGAGTTAGAGGGAGAATATTTTAAAGATGAGGTCAGAGGGAGAATATATTCAAGATGGGAGATACTGTAACATATGCCATTGGGGAGAATCCAGAATAGAGTACAAAACTGATGAAAAGGAATAATACAAGAACCAAGTCCTTGAACAGGCAAAAGGATAGGATCTAGGGCACAAATGAAAAGATGAAGTTGTAAAAACAGCTATTTTAAAAATATATAGTCTTGCCCTGGCTGGTGTGGCTCAGTAGATTGGGTGCCAGCCTGCAAACTGAAAGGCCGCTGGTTCGATTCCCAGTCAGGGCACATGTCTGGGTTGTGGGCCAGGTCCCCACTTGGGGGCATGTGAGAAACAACCTTTCTCTCCCTTATTCTTCCTCCCTTTCCCTCTCTCTAAAAATAAATAAATAAAATATTAAAAAATATATATATACACAATATTTTACTGAATGCAATATTAGCCACTGGTTTCAGACAGGTAGGCTTTAACATGGTAAACAAAACAGTC